CACATAACAACAACAACATATATATATATTAGTAATTGACTTATTTATCTAGTAATATATTTCTAGTCATTTATCTCCATTGAATTTTATAAATTGGTGGGTGGGGGAGGTCTTGGCCTTTGCCCTTGCCCACAGCCAGTTGGGGAAATAAAGATGAACAGCCGCCAGACTGAAGAAGGGACAAACGTCAGCATGCACTTGAGCACAAGGAAGGATTTGAAACTGCTGAGGAGGTTTTGATTAAGGACAAGTGACTTTCCTGTCCTCTGTGATGAGGAAGCTGGGATGCCATTTTGGCTCTTTCCACTGACCTTGTCACAGTGTGCATTTCAATCATGCTGGGTATTCTTGCTGACTTGAATAGGGCCATCTCCTCCACATGCAAATTGATGAGTGAAGAGCCACATTTCCATATGAATGCCAGCACGATGCTCCTCAACTGGCTATTTGCAGAGAGAAGTGAGCTCAGCTCCGATCAAAAGAAAATTAAGACACATTTTTGTATTGAATTGATATACTCTTACCCTTAATAGTTAGGATGACATGTTCCATTTATAGATTGAGGATAAGTGTCTTGGCTAAGCTGCTTTAAAAAATTGCTGTTGTTTTCAGGCAACTCTAGACTCATGGTGACCCCATGAATGCAGAGTAGTACTGTTCCATAGTGCTTTTATGGTTGTGACCTTTGTAAAGCAGATTGCCAGGCCTTTCTTCCATGGCACTGCTAGGTGGGTTCAAACCACCAACCTTTCAGCTGGCAGTCGAGTGCTTAATTATTTGTGCCACCCAGGGACTCCTGCTTTAAAAAATAGCTGTGTGTATTCCTCATTTTCAAAAAAGATCGACTACACATTTCAAAAGGTATTGACAGGATTTAGCTTAGATGGTTCAGGAGTACAAAACTGTTCTTTCTTTGTGATTTGTGTAAGATTCTCTTCTAATGCTTTAGTCCACCAAGTTAGGGAAAAAAATATGGACCACCTAAGAGCTCTGGTAGTGTAGTGCCTAAGGCACTTGACTGCTAACCAGAAGGTTGGTGGTTCAAACCCACCAGCCATTCCTCGGAAGGAAGGTTGGGCAATCTACTTCCATAGTGATACTGCTTCAGAAACCCAAGGAGGGGTCGCTATGAGTCGGATCTGACTCAACGATACATAACAACTTAACAAGAGCTTCCTGATGCTGAGTAACAAACAATAAATGGTGGCTACAGGTTGGGGAAGGAGCAGACATGAATTCAGCCTACCTCTGGTGGTAGAGTGGTTAAAGCATTGGGATACTGCCCAAAAGGTTGGTGGTTTGAACCTACCAGATGCTCTATGGGAGAAAGATGTGGCAATCTCCTTCTATAAAAATTCTTACTACCATCGAGTCAATTCTGACTCATAAGAACCCCCATTGGGTTTCCAAGTCTATAAATCAGTACACCAGAGCTCCCTTCTGTAAAGATTAAAGCCCTAGAAACCCTATGGGGTAGTTCTACTATGTCCTAAAGCTTTGCTATGAATTGATGCAATGGCTGTTTTTTTTTTTTTTTTTTTTTTTTTTTTTTAAAAAGACTGCCTCATAGAAACTAGGTTCCTCAGAATTCCTTAAAAGTGAGGATGGTGAAACTTTGGCTTCCTTACTTTGAACACATCATCAGGAAAGATCAGTTGCTAGAGAAAGACATCGTGTTTATAGAGGGTCAGCAAAAATGAGGGAAACCATCCATGGGATGGATTGACACAATGGCCACAACAATGGATGCAGACATACCAACAATCATAAATATGGTGCAGGACCAGGCAGTGTTTGGTTCTATTGTCCATAAGGCTGCCATAAGTCAGAGCCGACTCCACAGTAACTAATAACAGGCACCCCATACACAGGCCTTGACTGAAGCAGGCCTCAGAGAGAACAACTCTACTGTAAAGTCAGAAGATCAGTGGGCTCAAAAGACCACAATTTTAAAGAAAATGCTCTGCACATTACCAAGTACCAGTTACCACTTGCCTTTCAGTTGACTCTTGACTCATGGGGATCCCATGTGTGTCAGAGTAGAACTGTGCTCCCCGGGGATTTCAATGGCTGTTTGTTTGAAAATAGATTGCCTGGCTTATTTTCCAAGACACCCTTGGGTGGACTTGAACACCCACCCTTTTGGCCATCTTAACCATTTTTACCACCCAGGGACTTTGTATTACCAAATACAGTGAAAAATATGAGAGCCAGAATTTGATAGGACTGCCTACTTTTTCTGTATTGCCAAAGTTTTCCACCTATTAGTGGAAAATATTTGCATTTTCCTTCTTTAACAGGTTTTACTGTAGCACATTTATATTGGTGTCATTTTTCCCTTTGATATTACTGAATTTAATGTCAAAACGAAATACTCCAAAGAAAAATGCTGTGCAGGTGCTGGGGACTCAGTGGTGAGGGGGGATCAACAGGCCAAGCTGCAGTACCTGGGGGTGAGGAGGGGTTGGTAGGGTGCTTACTCTGGGGGAAGGAAGAAAGGAGAAAAGGAGCCAGCATCAGAAGGTAGGGAAAGGGCAGGAGAGAAAACCCAAGAAAGGAAGTGAACCCAAGAAAAGGAACAGTGATAGCTCAGAGACATGCAGAAACCCCATGCAGTGTTGATGGAACTTATGTTTTTAGTAGGAGGAAAATTTTTTAATGCATAAATAACTTTTGTTTCAAAGAAAGGTCTACCTTATGTTGGAAGAAAGCCCTGGTGATCTACTTCCAAAAAATCAGCCATTGAAAACTCTCTGGAGCCCAGTTCTACTCTATCACACATGGGGTCACCAAGAGTTGGAGCCAACTCAATGGCAACTGGTTTTACCTAGTGGGACAAGGGACGTGGAGAAGAACATGCCTAGTATGCTTCTGGTCCATTCTGGGCTTCTCTGGAGGGTTGGCACAGTGCCTCTGGAAGAGCCATAATGGAGGTGACCCATTGTAATTATTCCCCTTTCCCAGTTAAGAGGCATGCTCTGAATTGTCTTTAAAAGATTGTTAAGTATTTACATATATTAGATATTCTGTTCTTTTTTTTTTTTTTTCCAAACACATGGAGCTCTACCTCTGAGAAAAACATGCACCGTGCAAACCTGGGAAATATCTGCTTCTATGAAGGCTTTGAAGCCAGAACTCTGCCTGTCGTGGTGTGTAACATTTCACAGCAAAGGATGAAGCTTTCCATATTCTTTAAATTCCATGATTTACCAAATATCGAGATGGCTGGGTTTGCAGTGGTCTGGGCTTGGCTTTCTGTGAAAATGCAGGCCTATTCCTGAGCAGAGGTAGCCGTTTTTTTTGGTAGAAACTGCCCCATCTCTGCTGCAAAGCCACTGAGTATATCCAATCTTGAGAAAACCAAGAGCAAACACTCTGTTTGGAAGTTTTCTTTTATAGCACAATGGGAAAGTACACAGAAATAATGAACATTCTCTGAGCGTTCTGCTTGAGTTGTTTTTAAAAAACCATTTATTTCAAAGGGCAGATAAGTGCTTTGCTAGGCAACAACCAGCTCAAAAGCAGTTGGAGTTTGTCTTAATAAATAATGAAATGCCATTTACAATTCCTAAACTTCATATAACACGTTACACATTTTAAATAACTAACACCCACTCTGCTGCTGTGTATCTAAAAACTGTCCCCAGGTGTGTGTGTATGTCTTGGAGTGAAACAGATCACTGAGCTTTTAAGTGCAGTTCACAGTCCTGAGTGTGACCCCTTCACCCCATGCCGTGGCCCCTCAGAGGGCCTGGGTGGGTGCAGCTGTGTCTGGCGCTTCCCAGTGTGCCTGGGCCCCACTGCCAGCTTGGGCAGTTTCACTGCCATTCAGTTTTTAGGTCACACAAAGGGAAAGGAAGCACTGGGAATATCTTCTGAGTAATGTCATGGATCTGAGTTCCGTCTTGGCTTCTAAATCAGTAAGCAAGTTTTCTATGTCATTTTAGAGATTAAACTGTTATTTGCTTAGTAATGCCAACCTTTTTGCTCGCTGGTATTTTCATATGGGTTCTGATATCCTGTTTAGGCGGCACATTTGGGGTCTCTGGAAGTGACAAACGCATTTGTGGTCAGGGCTCCTGCTGGCACAGCATCCTGTCCCTTTAACATTCTACTATCTAAATACCTGAGAGAGATGGAGTCTGCATCTAAAACCCATAGCACTGCCATCAATTGTCATCCATCCAGGCGAGCAATGGGGTGAGACCCACCACGAGGCACTTGGTTGTCAGAGTCTGTGTGTTCCTGGTGCAGGTAAGGCAGCCAGGCAGCAGTTTTTACAAATGCCCTCACTGCTGTCCTAGGTTCTGCACCTAGTTGCAGCGGTACCAGGAATTTGCAAGTTTTGCGTTTGTGTTTCATCTAGGTGCATGTGCAAAATGCAAGGATATATCAATCTTCTCAACCCAGGAGCCTTTGTTTGAAGTTTTCCTTGAAAGATGGTTTGTGAAGGATGAGACTGATGCAGTCAGTGTTCCTTAAACCTGAAAGATATGATAAAATAACACCTGGCTAAACTGCAAGCCATTGTTAAACAACAGATGCTTCATTTCATACAAAATGCACACAGCCCACCTAAAGCACATCTCTGTCTCCTTCTGCCAGGGCTTTTTCTGGAAGCAGAATTTGATGGTGGATAAACCCCGACACAATCTCCACATACTGATGGTAGGCACGAAGGGGACAGAGGAAAGAAAGGAGCCAAGCCAGGTGAGGGGAGGTCAGGGAGCTGCTCTGGCTATAGGAAAGCCTCAAGCCAGAAGGAAGGACAAAGGAGGCAATTTACCCTCACACGTCCTCACTCAGATCTGAGGAGCGATTGCAAGGATCATATACACACAGGGGTGTTTTATTAGCAAAAGGAGGAATGAAATACTGTAATGACTGGTGATTTTTCTTTTCTTTCTTTTTCAGGAAAAGCCAGGTGTGGAAGGCAGATAAACCAGAATGACATTTTAGGGCTTTGCCTTAATCCCATGGGTATAGACACCAGGGTGGACTTACGGAACTTGGTCCCCCGTTGGTGTCCCTGTGCAGCCCAGCTCCTTGTGGATGAGGCGGACCAGGCACTGCATCCAAAACAGAGAAACAAGAGCTGTCACTGTGGCTGAGGCCCCCAGATGCTCCACAGGCACCCACCCAGAATCCTGCTGCCTGCAGGACTACACTCTCCCAGAGGCAAATTCTAGCTTGTCTGCTCCAAGAGAGGCTTTGTCTGAAGAGGAACAGATGGATGCAAAGCCCACAGAGGGAGCTACAGGCAGTCTCTAGTCAATTGCTTAGACTAAGGGAGGGCTGTTTCTTGGTAAGCCCTAGAAGGAATGGTTCCAGGACACGCTCCTGAAAGCAAGGGGTTTAGGACAAGTTTCAGCAGCCTGAATTACTTCTGGATTCAATAATTGTTAAAATAAAATCAGTGTGATAATATGCACCCAAATCACAATATAAAAGCAATAATAATGATAATTAATTAATAAAATAAAAGTAGTGTGATAATAAAATGTCCAAATTGGGCAAAGATGGAAACAAAGACAATATACGAACTGCAGACATGCTGGAGGGGACCCAAGAGCATGGTGGTCACACTAAGCAGATGGGCATCTTCTCAGATATGGTGCTGGGAGGCTCAGGAGGCCATCTTGGGAAGGGCTGTGCTTCATCAGGAAGCCTCTCAGAGTGTCTCAGACCTCCACAAACAGTGCCATCAGCAAGCGCAGCTACCCCGACTGTGAACAAGCAGGCCCTGCTCTCTGCTCAGCTCTGCTCCTGACCATCCCTTCATGGTTCGTTAAATGTTAAAAGGGCTGAGAGGAAGTTTAGAAATCCAGACTAATGACCAAATGTCTCAGAAAACGTAATTGGATTTCTCTGCATTTGCAAGTGTGGCTCTAGTTTCCCCAGTGTTCCCCAGCCACACAGAAGGTCTGCCCTGGAATGCATTCCTGAGGGAAGTTTTCCTTCTTGCAGGGCAGCAGGTTCCCACAGGCCCGGGATAGACCATGGCACTAGAGATGTAGGAGGCCTGGCAGTGGGGGTGCTGGAGGCAAGGCTTCAGGGGAGGGGAAACACCTCATAAACATAGATACCCATGTGTTTGTGCAGTTACACTATCAACCCTCAGGTCAAAACTCTGGAAGGCATGACAGTGTCTATTTTCTTAGATGTTTATAGTTCAAGTAGGTGCCTAGAAGACCCACAAATGATAACAGTTCAGGTTAAAGAGAACAGGTATTTCTCCTACAGATAAAATGCAGCTTTCCTTGATTCACTAAGCAATGTTTATTACTGTCATTGTGGGGTAAAGAAGCAGTTTTGGTGGTGTAGCGGTTAAGGCATTTGGCTGCTAACCAAAAGGTCAGTAGTTAGAACCCACCAGCTGCTCTTTGGAAGAAAAGATGAGGCAGTCTGCCTCCACAAAGATTCAGATTTGGAAACCCAATGGGGGTCGCAGTGAGTCAGAATTCACTCAATGGCAATAATTTTTTTTTTTTTTTTTGGATTGGGGAGTAGAGCTAGGGGAAATATTTCAGATGCTACAGATAGTATTCGTGGCAACAGAATAAAGGACAGGAATATTGCTGTTAAATAATTTGATCACTGTGAATTTGATATTCTGGCTCCAGCTACTACTACGTGTTTGCTGAGTTTGAGTCGGTACCTTATCAACATTATAAATTCCATCAAGTCCAATGTACGTGATGTGTTAGAAGCAAGAGGTTTATGATTATGAAAAGCAGATCAGTAAGTGAAATGAAAAAGGAAAAGAAAACAAGTGTTTTTGGGCATTGGAGCATCTCATTTTGTCCTCCATTTAATATTTAATCTCTTTTTGATATTTCCATCTCTTCCTCTTTCTGTGATGCTTTCTAGGTAATTTTCTTATATCTATACTCTGCTTAAGTAATTCTCTCTTTCCAAAACCAAACTCCCTGCCATCGACTTGGTTCTGACTCATAGTGATCCCCATTGGGTTTCCAAGTCTGTAAATCTTTAAGAAAGCAGACTCCCTCATCTTTCTTCCTTGGAGCAGCTGATGGGTTTGAACCACTGACCTTCTGGTTAACAGCCAAATGCCTTAACCACTACCATGATGGCTCCTTATTCTCTCTTTAGCTATATCTAATTTGTTTTACAAGCACATCCATTGGGGATTTTTTTCTGCTAAAGATCAACCACAATTTCCATTTCTAGAAATTCTACTTGGTTGTTTTTCAAACTTGCTGGGTTTTTTTTGTTGTTTGTTTTTTTTTGTTTTGTTTTGTTTTTAGTGTTTGGTGCTTTTCTCTTGAGTCTAGTTCTTTTTATGTCTTTAGAAATGTTTAATATATTTATTTTTATAGTTTATCTGACAAGTCTTTTATCTGAAGTGTTAGAGGTCCAATTCTGCTGTTTGTTGTGGCTGAAAACACTTCTTCATAGTGAATTACTTCCTATAGAAAGCATCTTGAGAAGCACATCAGTTGAGAGAACCCTGTGCATCTAGGTTGAGATTTGTTTCTCTCAAATGATTTTGGATTTGCTTCTGCTTAGAAATTGGGTACATCACCCACCAACCCAGGACCAATTTTATTCTCTTTCTTTTTTGTATTTCAATAATATAAATTCAAAAGAATTTTCAGGGACATGAAACAGCCATAAGGATGGAAATGTGGGTAAGTTCAAAATACTGGTGGGTATTTTCCCACATTTGGTGACCAGGCTAAGATGGACACAAATTCTTGTTGTCTTTCTATGTCAATGTGCAGACATTGTCTAGTATACCCTTTTACTACAAGCACAGCCCATTGAAGTTCCTGGCTGCAGTTCCAATTCCCCATCTTGTGCCAGCCCAACACCTCATCTCTTACTCCCCATGGACATAACCACTCCAGCCCTAGATTCCTAAGATTGGTAACTTGTCCCAGGGCTGCTCTACCATCAAGTTGTGAACTAGTTTTATGCTGCCTCTACATTTTTGGCAGGTGAGGATTTCCTTACATCCTTGTGCATTCAGCTATGCATTTAAAAGGCTTTTCAATATGTATTTTCCAGTATTTCTGAAGTAGAAGAATTTTCAGGGACACTAAACAGTCATAAGGATGTAAATGTTGCTGCTACTTAGTAGAAATACATCTGGGAACATAATTAAAATGCTTAGATAATTAAAAAACAAATGATCTAAGGATCAGCCTTTTAAAACTTAATAAGTTCATAAATTGAAAGATGGTATTTGATTCTGCATGCAGTGGAGGAGGTCTGTTTTAGGGATCCCGGGAGCTCTGGTTGCATTGTGCCTAAGGCATTCAACTGCTAACCAGAAGGCTGGTGGTTCAAACCCAACAGGCACTCCTTAGAAGTAAGATTGGGCAATCCACTTCTGTAGAGATACTGCCTAGGAGACCCAAAGAGGGGTCACTATCAGTTGAATTAACTCGACAGTGGTGAGTTTTAGTTTTTTTGGGAGTTAAAACATAAATTTTTTATTTGATATAGTTGAAATTTCTATCAGGATTTTTATCAGGATCAATCTCAGCTTTTTTTATGGCAAAGCAAGAGAAGAGGCATGGGATTAAGGTTTGGGGACTATGTGCAGCAAGAAGATGTGTAAGGATAAGTATACTCTAATTACCCTCAGACGTATATGCCTGTATGATGGTCACATCATCGTTGGTCTTCTCTGTCCTGAACGAACCCTTGAGTCTTCTCAAGTCAGGAAGGGGTGAGAAGTGGGACAGCAGGTAAGAGAAAAACAGAAGGCATCTCTGTGCCCACACTGGCAGACTCTGCTTTTTTTTTTTTTTTAATTATTATTTTTTTAAATTGTGATTTGGGTGAAAATTTACAGAGCAAATTCACTTTCCATACAGCAGTTCACATACACTTTGTCTCATGATATTCACTACAATTTACTCCAATGCAACAGCTCCCCTCTCCCTTCCTCTCCATAGTTACCTCTACCCTGTGCCTGTTCCTCCATGCACTCCTGCATCCTGAGCTGTCTCCTGTGCATAAACAGCCTTTCTTTCTCCCATGATTGTTCTCTCCAAGAAGTGTATCTATCTCAGGTAAATGTTCAACTCATATGCCTGTCTTTTGTTTGGCTCGAAGCCACAGCTGTGGTTTCAATTCCAGACCTAAAGGGCGGCTAGGGGCCATAGTCTCAGTGGTTCCATCAGACTCTATCAGACCAACAAACCTGGTTCTCTCCCCCCCTTTTTCCCCCAAATGATTTTGAGTTTTGTTTCACATTGTTCTCCCTGTCTATCTAGGATCTCCTACATAGATCCCCCTCTGAGTGGTTGACAGTGGTAGCTGGGCACTATTTAGTTCTTCTGGTCTCATAGTTGTATAGGCTGAGGATTGCATGATGTACCAGTCACTAGACTAATTGTTTCCATGCATCTTCGGTTTTCTTCATTTTCCTTTGCTCTGGATGAGGACAGACCCATTGTTGAATCTAGATGGCTGCTTGTTAGCTTTTAAGATCCCAGTTGCTACTTGCCAAAGTAGGAGGTGGAACAATGTTTTGTGTAGTATGTTATCCCAATTGAGCTTGATGTCCCCTGTGACTATGGTCCTGAGCCCACAGGTTCAATTACTCAGTCCCTCTGGGTAGCTGGCTGTGACCAAGAAGTGACTACAACCTCGTTCCTTGTCAGCTCTATTATACACCTGGGAATTCTTACAGAACATACAAACACACTGGTAGAACCATTGTCTGCCAACCCTATACATGGTTTTGGGTACACTCCCTGTTACATAGACATACCTAATAGTTCAGCCTGTCTACCCATCTATCCACCCATATACCCATGTTTGCCTTCACTGACAATGCAGTACTGTATGTGCAAAAGGGTTCATCTTTGTTGTCTGTCCCTCCCATGTACCTCTGTATGTCTTCCTCTTCCTCAATGGCACTGTGTTGATCACTCACATTTGATACATTGCCCTTCTCTTCACCCAAATCAATACTTATCTCTGCCTATCAGTGTTCCCTCCCCTCCCCTCCCACCCCTGGTAACCAACAAAGAAAATTTCCTTTCATATATAAACTTTTACACCTGAGAATTCTTACAGAACATACTAATGTTTGCTTCTTTTTCTGGCTCCCATCCCTCTGAATGAGAGGGAGTCAGGGTGCTCCTCAGTGTGAAAACGTGATGGAAGAATACTAGAACAATAATGGCCACCATTCATGTGGCCAGGCCCCATGCATTATCTCCTTTGTTTCCCACAATAATCCTGTTATTGGGTACCATTAGTTTACCCATTTAAAAAATGGAGAAGCTGCAGAATAGAGAAGTTAAGTAATGTGCTCAACTCATACACATGATAGTTAACAGAGGCACGATTAAAAACCAGGGAGCTCCATGCTCTTAGCATCTATACCATCCTGTCTGAAACTACAGAGTAACAGACTGACCAACAGCCTGTTTTCAACATGTTTTTTTTTTTTTTAAATCAGATAAATGGTGTTCTACCATGAATATTTAAGGAAGGATCATCTGTTGGGATGTGTCATTAAAAAAGGAAAAAGAGTCCACAGGAGTGTTTGGCCAACCACCCTTGAGATGCTCCTTAAGTGTTGCTTGGATTAAAAATAGGATGACTTACCAATAAGGCACAGGCATCTGCAAACATCAACATGTAAAAGACATTGTTCCATCCAGAGGGGGAGATGAGCCCAGCCAGCAAAGGGCCCAAGGCCGCCCCTGAAATGTGGCAAATGGATATATATGGTGTGTTTAAGGAAAACTCTGGCACATGATATTTAAAATACATAAGCCCAATAAATATATAAAGTATGCTAAACAGCTCACTCATAATGGAAAAAAATAAATAAATAAAACCCATTCTCAACTATCAGATTGGTAAGGGTTAAAAAAATAAAAAATGATGTTCAAATTTTTCTGAAATCAAATCTAAAAATATTTTCTGAAACCAAATCTAAAAACGATTTAATGTATGGCATTCAACATGTTCATTATTTTGATCTAACAATTTTAATTTCATTATTTTGAAAATTCATTATAAATAAATATTTTCTGAATTAAATGTACAATTTTGAATATTCTTATGGTAAAAAAATATTATTGGGTAAAATTTGAATAAGGTCTGTAGATACTAATACTGTATCAATGTTAATTTCCTGATTTTGAGAATTGTATTTTGGTTATGTCAGGCAATGGAAAGCATGGATCCATTTTACTTTTTAAACAGTTCAGAAAAATATATATGTGCATGCATAGTGTACAAATATATAAAAGAGAGAGTGGAGTGGGGGAGAGAAGAAGGGAGAAAGGGTGAAGGAGGAAGGAAATGATGTAAAATGATTACTTTGCATAAAGAATTCACAGAATTCCACAAAAAATATCATTTTTATAACTTTTCTGTAAGTCTAAAATTGTATTACACTTGTTTTTAAATAACTAAAAACAAAAGAAATCAAATATTCTGAAAAATCCCCCAAGATAGCTGTATACAAATGTTTGCTGCAGCAGTTTGGTTATTTATTTTCCTAATAGGGTTTGGAATAAATTATGATATATTTGTAGATAGTTTATTATTTTGGTAGATATTTGGTAAGAAGTGTGAAGGAAGAAATTAAACCATATTATTAATTGAGATTCAATCTCTGGGACATGAGATTATTAGGGTCATTCATACTTTATATATATATTGGTTTTATTTCAAGATTTTATGAAGAGCACTTACTACTTTTATAATTGTTTTGGAAAAACAGTTACTTTTTTTTTTTTTTTTTTTT